CACATCGATCAAAGTGTAGATTGAACTGGACCTCCCTTGAAGTTATACTTACAAATTAAACAATTTTCGGAATACTAAGTTTATTTATTTATTATATGTGATATTGTGTGGCTATATCATGTGAAGAACTGAATAGTGGCCAATGTCACTTTTTCTTCACTTCACCTATCCAGTGTATAGGTTTTTCTAATAGTGACTACAAAGCATATTCACACTAACTAACAGTATGTTTTATGTTTGTTATGTCTCATGAAAGATAGATTTGTCACAATGAAATTTGCTGTATAGAAATTTATGTATATTTGTTATTAGTATGTAACTATTTCATGCTCCTCAAAACTTCAACTTTTAATTTTAGGTAAAGACAGAGCTCCTAAAGTATATCAACAGTATATATACCAGCCACATACTCAGGATTATAAAGTTGGAAAGCTTACTTTTGCAACTGTTGTTCAGCTTCATAGATATCTTTCTTTGTTTCTGGTGAAAAGACAAACTGGAGAGACTGTGGAGGTTCCAAGACTTTTGCTGACTTCCACTGATGTTGAGTTTTTTTCTCACTGTTTTGAAAAGAATGTATATACATCACATTTAACAAAGCAATTGCTCAAAATTACAACTATCAGTACAAAATTGTGAAACTGTAAAAATGGCTAGTTACGTGTATAAGCAACTATTAAGTTAATTCTATTTTTACACAGCATACAGATGCTGTAAAGAGGGGATGTTTTAGTGAGCTTAATTATGATGCAGTATCTACCATCTTATCTTAAGAAATTGTTTCTTTTCAATGTATGATCTCAACTATGTGTTCTGGCAAATGACTTGTGCAGTTTGTCTTCACTTTTGTTTCACTTTCCAAATTCATTGCTAAATTGACCTGGCATGGCCAGGTGGTTTGTTTGTTTGTTTGTTTTTGAATTTCGCGCAAAGCTACACGAGGGCTATGTGCGCTAGCCATCTCTAATTTAGCAGTGTAAGACTAGAGGGAAGGCAGCTAGTCATCACCACCGAACGCCAACTCTTGGGCTACTCTTTTACCAACGAATAGTGGGATTGACCATCACAGGGCAAGCAATTTTGGTGGGACAGGGATTCGAGCCCGCGTTCCGCAGATTGTGAGTCGAGCG